CTTTATGTTTCTAAAGCATATTCTCTCATAACACTGCATGATAAAATTAACCATAACATTTGAATAGTCTATAGAATATTGTTGCATATTGACTTCCCTGTTAAAATATTGATCATTTCCTGCTGATTATTTCCTGCTTGCTTTACAGAATGGCAGATCAAAACAAAGCCATCTTGGTTTAAGAAGGCACTCAATAAATGTTCGCTGATATCAACTTCTTTCTTCCCTACTAACAATGTCTTTAAAAGAGGGCAATAGTACCCAACATACTCCTCAAGGCTGTTAAAAACCTGCCTTATGAATTGTCATGCCTTGAATCTGTACTCATCAGCAATGCAAATCATATATTCAGAAGCAGAACGATAAATACTATGTAGTCTTATAAAAATGCTTAATATAGAAATAAAATTCCTTAAATATCCAATTTAAATTTGAAGTCTGTTAAAAAGGCCTTATTTTTTGAGCCAGAGACATACACTGCCGACAAATTCTTTTCAGAGGCAACATGGTGTAATGAAAGCAGCTGTGGATTAGAAAAGAATCCCAAAGTCCTAGGTTGAAATCTCAAATCAGCACTTAGTTGGCTTAAGTATCTTAGATCAGTCACTTAATTTCTTTCAGTTAAAGTTTCTTTGTCATCGGTTTAAAAAAAAAAAAAAAAAGGAGCTTTACGGTGTAAAGCTCAAGCAGAATCATGATGCGGAAGTTCCCTGTAAACACTAAACCCCTGATCATAAAACATCAAGCACATCCTCACTTTTCAGGGCAAAATAAAGTCCTGGGTTTATGACATCTTCTCTACCCCTAGTGGATGCCTTTACCTCTGAGAGATAAAGATACAGGGCCTTTTCCAAGGCTTCAAAGGCTGGGATTTCCTTACAGAGCAAGTAACTAAAGAGCCCACTGCCCTCGCACTATTTCACTGAGTTGTAGCCCATTTACTTACAGATTTAGTGAAATTTTGTGAACACTGGTTCTTTCAGATGTGGTTTCATGGACCTATTCCCTTCCCACCTTCACATGCCTCTGCACCACAGGATCATTAGAAGTTAAATTTCTTTTAAGGATTCAGGGCTTTTTTTAAGTGTTGTTTGGGGTTTTTTTCCTATCTGGGGAAAATCAAGCAGAAGGAAATCAGGTAAAAGTAAGGCAGAAAATATGCATTGTTTTTAAATTAGAAAAAAATAAATATGACATTACAAAACTAAAATAGAAGGTAATCTGGTTGGTAATGAAGAAATTTTTTCATGGTCTGCTAAGTGGGGATTAGAAAAGAATAAGCAATAAATGCTCTGAATTATTACAAAATTTACCTCAGGACAGCAGAATAAACAAGATGACATTATGAAGCAGCTTTCACGGCTAAGATGCCAAACTAACACACATGTACTCAAATCTCTGCTGCTATTCTACTCAAGGAATTTAATTTACAAACTCTTGTTTCATTTGTTGGTGGTGTTTACTGCTGCTGCTATTAGAGGATGGGAAAAGTATTTTCTTGGTCTTCAGTTTCTATATTTGGTAGTTTGGGTGCAGTCAATATAGGAAAAGACAGATGTTTCACAAAAATGGTTGGACTTTTCTCACCTAATTCACTCTAGAATAGGAAGCTTCTTGAAAAGGTAAAATAAAGAATGGTAAGATGAAGGACTTTCCAAGCATTTATGGCAACAGAAAGAAAAGCAGAGAATCTCTAAGAGGAAGAGACATAAGGAGTCAAAACACAGGCTAAAAGGGTTCAGTAAAGAACAGCTCCTTGTGATACTAGAGAAGGACAGTAAGAGAGTCAAGTATATGGCAAAATATTGCCCATTGCCAAGAAGAAAATTAAGGGAACCTCTGAGATCCAATTTCATCATCTGTGTAACGAAGATAACATTAAGACTGCTCTGGGGATCTACATGGTATACCATAAGTGAGAATCCCCAGCACACTGACTGGTCCATCACTGATCTTCAAAAAAGGGTAGTTTCCTCCCCTTCCTCTAAACTCAATCACAGAATATTACAATGGAAAGGGAAGCTCAGATATTGCCTAGTCCTAAGCAAATAAATCAAATAATTTGAAAGTGTTATAACCTGTACAGAATTTTTATATCATAAATTTTAAAGGCATTAAGACATTACTACATGATCTCAAAAACCTTACCAATGTCAAATACAGATGAACAGTTGCACTGGGAAAAACTCCTTTGCACTGCTGCAACAGGGGACTCCTTCCCTCACCAACATCCAAGCAATTTATACAAATTGGTGGGGAAAAGATATGTTTTCCCTCCTTGCTGTAAGGATTATGGGTTAGCAAGCAGAGATAGAAATCTGTGCTCCATGCTGCTCATAAAAATCAAAGTTGAAATCTAAAACATTTTCTCATAGGAATAATGATAATGTTTAGATTTTCTTTTTTTTATTTTTTTATTTTTTTATTTATTTTATCTTTGGCTGTGTTGGGTCTTCGTTGCTGCGTGTGGGCTTTTCTCTAGTTGCAGTGAGTGGGGGCTATTCTTCATTGCAGTGCACAGGCTTCTCATTGCAGTGGCTTCTCTTGTTGTGGAACACAGGCTCTAGGCGTGCAGGCTTCAGTAGTTGTGGTACACGGGCTCAGCAATTGTGGCTCACGGGCTCTAGAGCGCAGGCTCAGTAGTTGTGGCGCACGGGCTTAGTTGCTCTGTGGCATGTGGGATCTTCCCAGACCAGGGCTCAAACCCGTGTCCCCTGCATTGGCAGGCAGATTCTTAACCACTGCACCACCAGAGAAGTCCAATGTTTAGATTTTCAAGCTAACAATTAAACAATGCAGCTAACATACCATTTTTAACTGACTATTTTTCTCATTGTAAGTACAATATTTAGGCTCTTTATAGACTGAACTGGCTTTTATGAAAAGGCCTAGGAGTGTAACCCTGAAATGCTTATGGAAAAAACATATTCTGAGTGTGAACAATCTACACAAGAACTTTTAGACCATAGCTGAGGAAGGGATAGTAGAAGAAAGCTGTGAGAGAAGATGATAGAGACTTTCTTTGTTTGACAGAAAGGGCAAATAAATTACACTAAATCACAGCTGCTCATGTCTTCAGAATAACTGTCTCTCTCATTTAACAAGCATTTAAGTCCTACCCTGTGCCCAATGCTGTACCCCTCCACAGGAAAAAATTTTTGTAAAGCTAAACTCACAGTCCAAGGAATGCAAAATTTTCCTTCCATCTTCCTGAGTAAATCACACACCAAATCCTAGTGCTTTGAGATTCACATATGCCTATCTTGATTACCCTGCATTGCCTCTATTTCAGAACGAACACACCTGAGGAAATGCCTAGTGTTGTTATTACTCTAAGTACTGTACTAAGGGGAAAAGAAGAAACTAACATTTATTAAGCATTTGGTATGCTCTCATTTGATTTTCACAACCCTGTAGGTAAATATTATCCCCAATTTACACATTAAGAAAATGATGTTAAATAACTTGCCCACAACACCAGTAAAGAGAAGCCAGGACTCAGAAATCTGCCAATTCCACTACTCAGAGGTTCCGACCCAGCAGGAAAGAAATTATCACTTAGGTGCCACTGGACAGTTGACCACTTTCACATCAGTTATTTGTTATTCTAGTTACGCAGGTCTGAGAGCAAGTTACAGAAAAGATAAACCATCAACTCTTCACATCACAAAATGTATTTAGTATTTAGGGAATGCTCTAAGAGAAAGGCTAAAATGTTCCCAGAGGTGAATCCCAGCTCTTCACATCATTTCCCAATCCCATTTCAACAGAGACTCTAGCACTAGGGCTCTTTTTATCACTTCCATCCTAGCCTATATCATTATGCCCTTAGAGCGTAGCTAATTAAAAACTTCATAAAGTTACCTTTCAAAACAAGATTTTCTACCAGCACAGATCTCTCTGCAGGTCCTTAAATTTAAATACATTCAGTTTCCACATAATTTGCCTGATGCTATTCCTAAACGTTTGTTACCAGTGACAGTTTAAAAGTTATTTTGTAGTGAACTGTGAACTAAACCTTGATTGAGCTGCAGTAAACATGGGAAACAAAAGTCTATGTTTAGACAGATTTCCCCATCTAAAATTTTCAATTAAAACTTAGGCAGAAAAAAAAACTGTACACTCATTTTTCTGTTTTTAACTGAATGACAGGTGACTTACAATAATGCAGTGTGGCTGAACTCCTCTCTCATGTAATCGCCACAAAAGACTAACACTATAAAAGTAAAACTAATACTCAATCCCTTAAATTATTGAATATGCCTTTTAAAGAAGTTGAGTATTATAAAAATTATTTAGCTTCTGGAGTTTAACACTTGTAACAGATAAAAAGAGGATTCTAAGAGGAATAATGGTCTCATCTAAAAACAGGTTCGTTTCTTAACAAAACCGTGACTGTAATATACACTAAACATTGGGACATGTGCAAAAACACTTCCTATTTTAAGTAATAATTATTTATAATATTGAAGGCAAAACAAACTAAAACAGATCAAACATTTCCAGTCAAATGTCTGCAAAATTCTGAACTGGGAAAATGATGTCAACGTATTTTATCCCTTTTTTTTCCTAAGGCTCCACTCCAAAAATAGAGTCATCGGGCTCATCAACTCAGGCGCAGAAACTCACTAAAATTGAGGTTTGAGAAAGGAGAAAACAGGTTCCCAGAATCTGGCTTCTTGGGTGAAACTGCCCTATGCCCCACACCAAAAACCTCGGGGAGCCGCTGGGGCCCTGCCCACCCCTCCCTCCGGCCGCACCTGACGAGGCCGCGCTGCCAGCGCCCCCTGCCGCCCTCCCCGCGCCCAGGGACCCGCTCCCACCCCCGCGCCTCGCGCCCGCGCCGCCCCCACCCCGCGCACACCCCGCGTCGAGGCCGCGCAGCCTGCGGGCAGCGCCGGGAGGCGCGCGGGCGCGAATTGAGGCGGGGCCGGCACGAGGCCGAGAGTAAGGGCGCGTCCCCCGAACGCCCGCCGCGGCCAGGCCGGAGCCTCACCTACCTACGCCGTATTTCTCTTCCTCCGTGGGGGTCCACATGGCCGGGCCGGGCGCGACCCCGCGGGCGCGGCGGCGGCCGGGCGACAGCGCGGCGGGGACGGCCGCGGGCCCGGCTGTGGCGCACCGCTAGGCGAGGCGGGGGCGGTCAGGCGGCGCAGGGCAGTGGGCGGCGCATCCCTCACAGGCCGTCCGGGATGCGACCGCCGCCACGCCCGGACCGCCAGGTTCCGCGGGCGCCCCAGCAAACCCGATCAGCGCGGGCGAGGGTTTGCCACCTGTCAGTCCCTGGCGTTCTCACGCCACCGCTCGTTCCTCACAGCTCTGCTGCTCGGCTCCCGGCGCCGCCGCGATTCGGCTCGCCTCAGCGGGCTCGCAGGACGCCCGCGCATGCGCCACTTCCCGGCGCGGGGGCTCGCACTGCCCGGGCTCGCGCCGCCCGAGCCCGCGCGCGAGCCCACGTGTCGCCGCCGCCGCGCGGCAGCGGAGGGAAATCAGCGAGAGGCGATTGAATGGCCCCGCCGGGGTCAGGACTGGCTCTTAGGCCCAAGGCCCCGGGCGGCAGCAAGTGCTGGAGGAGGCGGGGCTGGGCAGGTGGGAGGCCCTCGGACCCCCTGGGCTTCGGCATCCAGTGCCTCCTGCCAGGCACGCCGAGATCCCCGCGAGATCCGCCGGTCGGAGAGGGGAGAGCAGGGAAAGGAGGGAAGGATACCGTTTTAAGACCCATCCAGGTGTCATCCACGGCGCTGTCACGACCCCATCCCTGGAAAGGCCCCAGGAGCCACCCTCCGCAGCGCCCGGGCCCGCAGGGTGGGGTCGCCGCAGGAGAACCAAGTGGGGCATACTCGTGCCCCTCGCTCTTAGGTCTCTGGGACTCTTCCTAGGCCGAAGCCGCTAGCGCCTCCTTGCTTCTTGTTTCGCTGAGTCGGCCTGCGTAGTAAATGTTTGGGGCCAGAACAATCACTGCAGGCTTCCTAGTAAGGAAGAAGTTACTCATTGGGTTGGGGGAAGGGGGAGTAGGGACCGGGAGAGAGATGTACCTGCCCTGGGCACCGCCTCTGCTGCTCCTAGGTCTCTGCCTTACAGGCCATCCTGAGTTTCCGGTTCGGTCCCGAAACTTTTCTCCTTCCTCTCCTCCTTAAGAATCCATTCACTCTTAGGCCTGCAAATATCACCTTGTGACCCTAGGTCAACCGCTCAAAGACCAGGAAAGTCCTGGCAACTGCAGGACTTCTCCTTTCCACCTACATCTGGATTGCATGGTGTTCCTAGCCCTAATCCCAGCATATCCGTACAATTCTGTCACCAGCACTACCAAATCAAAATCCTGGTGTCATCCCTCACTATCAGTCTTGGACACCCCAACTCTATAAAGCCCAGCTCAAGGTCTCACCTCCAGAAAACCTTCCCTGATCCTGCAGCTGGCAGACTGGATCCTTCCTTTGCCTGGGATTCAAGCTGCGTGCCTTTGTGCCTTACTTTTCCTATAAGACTGTCAGCTCCAAAAGGCAAAATCCAGGCTAAAGTCACCTTTCTGGTCCATCAGGACTCAGCCCAGCACCTGACACACACTGTTGAATAGGAAGCAAGACTGATACAAGAATATCTTGGTAATCAACAGATATTGTTGATTCTTCATTCACAATATTCTTTATGATTGGTAACTCCTCCCAGGCCTAATTGTGTTCACCTGGATTGCCACAGACTCCTGACCTATAGACTCCTCCTCCCACCAGTGAAGGCTGCCCAATCCTGACCCTGGAAAATGTTCCGTAAATGACTGAGTTTCTCAATAGCTAGATATATATATTTTTTGATCCAAGGACATAATAAAAGACATATCCTTATTTATGTAGCTGACTATTCCAGGAAGATAGACCCCTGCCCAATGGCCACCATGGAATTTTTACCGCGGAATGAAGCCACATTCCCACAAAGTTTTATCCAAGGAGCTATCCAGCAAGAGACGCCAAGTTATACAGACCTTCTAAACAACCTTTTTTTTTTTAAAGGAAATTGATTTTTTTAACATCTTTATTGGAGTATAACTGCTTTACAATGGTGTGTGAGTTTCTGCTTTATAACAAAGTGAATCAGTTATACATATACATATGTTCCCATACCGCTTCCCTCTTGCGTCTCCCTCCCTTCCACCCCCCCCATCCCACCCCTCTAGGTGGTCACAAAGCACGGAGCTGATCTCCCTGTGCTATGTGGCTGCTTCCCACTACCTATCTATTTTACGTTTGGTAGTGTATAATGTCCATGTCACTCTCTCACTTTGTCACAGCTTACACTTCCTCCTTCCCATATCCTCAAGTCCATTCGCTAGGAGGTCTGTGTCTTTATTCCCGTTTTGCCCCTAGGTTCTTCATGATCATTTTTTTCCCCTTAGATTCTATATATATATGTGTGTGTGTGTTAGCATAGGGTATTTGTTTTTCTCTTTCTGACTTCACTCTGTATGACAGACTCTAGGTCCATCCACCTCACTACACATAATTCAATTTCGTTTCTTTTTATGGCTGAGTAATATTCCATTGTATATATGTGCCACATCTTCTTTATCCATTCATCTGTAGATGGACACTTACATTGTTTCCATGTCCTGACTATTGTAAATAGAGCTGCAATGAACATTGTAGTACATGACTCTTTTTGAATTATGGTTTTCTCAGGGTATATGCCCAGTAGTGGGATTGCTGGGTCGTATGGTAGTTCTATTTGTAGTTTTTAAGGAACCTCCGTACTGTTCTCCGTAGTAGCTGTATCAATTTACATTCCCACCAACAGTGCAAGAGTGTTCCCTTTTCTCCACACCCTCCCCAGCATTTATTGTCTGTAGATTTTTTGATAATGGCCATTCTGACTGGTGTGAGATGATATCTCAATGTAGTTTTTATTTGTATTTCTCTAATAATTAGTGATGTTGAGCAGCTTTTCATGTGCTTTTTGTCCATCTGTATGTCTTCTTTGGAGAAATGTCTATTTAGGTCTTCTGCCCATTTTTGGATTGGGTTGTTGTTTTTTTTGATATTGAGCTGCATGAGATGCTTGTATATTTTGGAGATTAATCCTTTGTCAGTTGCTTCGTTTGCAAATATTTTCTCCCATTCTGAGGGTTGTCTTTTGGTCTTGTTTATGGTTTCCATTGCTGTGCAAAAGCTTTGAAGTTTCATTAGGTCCCATTTGTTTATTTTTGTTTTTATTTCCATTTCTCTAGGAGGTGGGTCAAAAAAGATCTGGCTGTGATTTATGTCATAGAGTGTTCTGCCTATGTTTTCCTCTAAGAGTTTGATAGTGTCTGGCCTTACATTTAGGTCTTTAATCCATTTTATTTTTGGGTATGGTGTTAGGGAGTGTTCTAATTTCATACTTTTACATGTACCTGTCCAGATTTCCCAGCACCACTTATTGAAGAGGCTGTCTTTTCTGCACTGTATATTCTTGCCTCCTTTATCAAAGATAAGGTGACCATATGTGCGTGGGTTTACCTCTGGGCTTTCTATCCTGTTCCATTGATCTATATTTCTGTTTTTGTGCCAGTACCATACTGTCTTGATTACTGTAGCTTTGTGGTATAGTCTGAAGTCAGGAAGTCTGATTCCTCTAGCTCCGTTTTCCTTTCTCAAGATTGCTTTGGCTATTTGGGGTCTTTTGTGTTTACATACAAATTGTGAAATTTTTTGTTCTAGTTCTGTGCAAAATGCCAGTGGTAGTTTGATAGGGATTGCATTGAATCTGTAGATTGCTTTGGGTAGTAGAATCATTTTAACAATGTTGATTCTTCCAATCCAGGAACATGGTATATCTCTCCATCTGTTTGTATCATCTTTAATTTCTTTCATCAGTGTCTTATAATTTTCTCCATACAGGTCTTTTGTCTCCTTAGGTAGGTTTATTCCTAGATATTTTATTCTTTTTGTTGAAATGGTAAATGGGAGTGTTTTCTTAATTTCACTTTCAGATTTTTCATCATTAGTGTATAAGAATGCTAGAGATTTCTATGCATTAATTTTGTATCCTGCTACTTTACCAAATTCATTGATTAGCTCTAGTAGTTTTCTGGTGGCACCTTTAGGAGTCTCTATGTATAGTATCATGTCATCTGCAAACAGTGACAGTTTTACTTCTTCTTTTCCGATTTGGATTCCTTTTCTTTTTCTTCTCTGATTGCTGTGGCTAAAAATTCCAAAACTATGTTGAATAAGAGTGGTGAGAGTGGGCAACCTTGTCTTTTTCCTGATCTTAGTGGAAATGGTTTCAGGTTTTCACCATTGAGGACGATGTTGGCTGTGGGTTTGTCATATATGGCCATATTATGTTGAGGAAAGTTCCCTCTATGCCTACTTTCTGGGGGGGGTTTATCATAAATGGGTGTTGAATTTTGTCGAAAGTTTTCTCTGCCTCTATTGAGATGATCATATAGTTTTCTCCTTCAATTTGTTAGTATGGTGTATTACATTGATTGATTTGCATATATTTAAGAATCCTTGCATTCCTGGGATAAACCCCACTTGATCATGGTGTATGATCCTTTTAATGTGCTGTTGGATTCTGTTTGCTAGTATTTTGTTGAGGATTTTTGCATCTATGTTCACCAGTGGTATTGGCCTGTAGTTTTCTTTCTCTGTGACACCTTTGTCTGTTTTTGGTATCAGGGTGATGGTGGCCTCATAGAATGAGTTTGGGAGTTTTCCTCCCTCTGCTATATTTTGGAAGAGTTTGAGAAGGATAGGTGTTAGCTCTTCTCTAAATGTTTGATAGAATTCGCCTGTGAAGCCATCTGGTCCTGGGCTTTTGTTTGTTGGATTTTTTTGCGGTACGAGGGCCTCTCACTGTTGTGGCCTCTCCCGACGCAGAGCACAGGCTCCGGATGCGCAGGCCCAGCGGCCATGGCTCACGGGCCCAGCTGCTCCACGGCATGTGGGATCCTCCCGGACCGGGGGACAAACCCGTGTCCCCTGCATCGGCAGGCGGACTCTCAACCACTGCGCCATCAGGGAAGCCCTATTGGAAGATTTTTAATCACAGTTTCAATTTCAGTGCTTGTGATTGGTCTCTTCATATTTTCTATTTCTTCCTGGTTCAGTCTCAGAAGGTTGTGCATTTCTAAGAATTTGTCCATTTCTTCCAGGTTGTCCATTTTATTGACATAGAGTTGCTTGTTGTAATCTCTCATGATCCTTTGTATTTCTGCAGTGTCAGTTGTTACTTCTCCTTTTTCATTTCGAATTCTATTAATTGTAGTCTTCTCCCTTTTTTTCTTGATGAGTCTGGCTAATGGTTTATCAATTCTGTTTACCTTCTCAAAGAACCAGCTTTTAGTTTTATTGATCTTTGCTATTGTTTCCTTCAT